TTTTGTGAGGAGATTCCTTCCACATAACATGGCCAAATACTTTCCCCTTGGAGCTTCGCCCCCTAAAAAATTGGGCAGATGGAATATAATATTCCCTTTGAGATCATTAATCAAAATCCACTGTCTTATCATCTATAACAATTAGTCACGTTATTAAAAGGTCACAAATGATATAATTTTTGTCTTAAATTAAACTATGTACTGTGGATGGAAAATAGGTCTAATTAAGGTTGAAATTATATGATTGAGGAAGATGCAGGGACAAAGGAAAGTTGACCGTCACATTTAGCATCTCGCATACTTTTTTTTTTTTTGGCCAAATGAATATGGTTTATATTCAATCTCAAGTTTTTAATACCTCTTTTTGAAGATACGGAATTACACAAATTACTGTTAAAAATAATGGATGTGTAAAAAATGTAATTTATTTTCTAGAAAACCTTTTATTTATGAAAAGAGAGAGGATGCATGTGTGGATAATTAATGTAGTGAGACTGACCAGTAATTAATGAGAACAAAATAAAAATAATATAAAAAATTTCAGGCAATTTACTAATGTATCTTAGTCTCTTGTAAATATAAACAAATAATCCTTAAAAAATCCATTATACATAAGGTCGAAGGGAACAATAAATATAACCATAAATAACAATGGAAAATCCCAATTAAAACCTTAGAATTTGAAAACACAGATAAGGACTCTTAACAACTTTACTATGGGTTTTGACAACTTCATGACATATTATTATTGTTAAAAGTCATAATGAATTGTCAAGGTTCCTATCACTTTTCAAATTCTAGGGTCTTTTTTTATGATTTTTCCAATAAAAATTGACCAAAATCTAAAGTAATTATTAAGACTTTTAAGTGTGAGTGCCAAATTACTTTTCTATTTCAAAATATTGCCATTCTAACAATTTTATTTTAATTATAACTATGTCTTTCAAAGTATGATGAAGCATTAATTATTTTTTCACAATTTTAGTCTCGTTAACTTTTGATCTCAAAGGAGTGAAATATGTAAGAAATAATTATAAAAAATATGAAGGTATTTTGTTGAAATGAAATATATATTTTTAATTTAAATTATTTAATCATTTTTAACCAATGCGCATTGCTTTAAACATTAAATAATTTAAAGGAATAAATAAATAAAAAGCATCTAAGGAAGATTTTATTTTGGAGGAGGGTCATCAGGTGCAGCGCAGGGTCAGTATTCTCAATTTTCGCTGCACAACCGGTCAGATGGGGCGGTCAAAGTAAAACACAAGAAATATGCTTTAAGTTATATGCAGATGTAGGTCTTTCTCTGGTACTAGAAAAACAGTCCCTGGTATGAAGACTTAAGGGCGTATAAAAGTCCCTTTCAAAAAGGAAGAAACAGATAAAATTGGACAAAAGTGAAAAAAAAAGAAAGTCACCGTAGAAAAACACAGGATGCATGTGACTATGATAAGACTGCAGGATCACGTTGTCATTTTCTGAAGGCCACGTATATTCTTCCGTCCACTTGGTTCGGGCCAAGACTCGAACTAGTTTCAGTCCATTACATTACAGAACCAAGTGTATCTCAGATCCGGCCCTGATATTGAAAACTGATAAACAGTATGGCCGATGTTTTCTATATGAAAATATTCTGAAATTGAAATTTCATAATCTCTCTTCAATCTACAATGCAAATAGGTGACAAAGGAACAATATTTCTCAAAATAAAGAGAGTGTGTGACCGCAAAATAACGTACCAGAATATCCAAATGATGAATCCGCGGCCATTCACTAACCCTGGGGCTGATGGAGTGTAATTTTCACGACACCGTGGATCATAACTAATAGCTTACTTCCACAAGTCATCATCTTTTCGAAGGGTAGGCATTCAATTCAATAACACCACCAATGTGCATGCCAGAAACATAAACTAACTTGTACGGAGTTGAGTATAAGTACTATCTAGTTGTAAAATAGGCAGTGAGAGAAGACTGGTTTTGACTCTCGAGACTGCGAAAGAATATAGAACGGTGAAATTTAACCTGATTCTGGTTTTATATCATACACAAGGATGGCTTGTGGTTTTCACTGAAATGTAATCAAGTATTCCTATTTTAGTAGCACACAAACAAATGAAATCCTCAGGACCTCAATTCCACGCCTGAATGAAGAGCAAGTTCCACCAGAGTGAAAAGTTCAGTCGTCTAGGAGAACTGGAGAAGGGAGGCTTCCAACCAAGAGCAGGCACTATATCTCAACAAACACATGCAGCCTAGTGCGTACGATTTTGGCTACTCTCTGCATTTCTCACTGGACTGAAGTAAGGATGGGCCTGCATAGCATTGAAATTAAGTCCTAGCCTAATTAGAATCTCCCAGAGCGAGGACCAAGCATAAAAGCCGACAACCAACTTCCTTCGTCCCAAAAGAACCAAGAAAGTGAGAGAATCGGGTGACAATCTAATCAAAATGGCAGATTAACTTTAAAGGGATTTTCCAGAAACACAAGAAACAGACAGCAGATAAACTAATAGTGACAGAAGATAATAATGTGAGGAAATGAATGAGAGGATGGCGCAAGATCAGAATTAGAATTCCAGCAAGAGCGTGAAAATGAGGACGAAGAGTTAGCGAGTAGAAGAGAGGCTAATCTGTGCGAGAAAGGTGAATTGTAATAGCCTTATGGCCATCAAATCTCAGATAGAATCCCAGTTGCTAAGGAAAGACTTCTTGCCTCGTAACAGACCCTCTTCTTTCAGAATTCAGACCAGAGACACCCTCTATTCCCTTTTGCTTTGACCCAAAATAAATCATCTCTTAATCTTAGCCAATAGTGGTCAAGAAGAGCCTCCTGAGTTGGGATAATTGAACAGTTACAATAGGCATGGCTTCTCATAATAAATGACCCGCCAATATTTCACTCCAAAGAAAAAGAGCCGCCAATAAATAACTCATTCGCTGCATCTAGAGCCGCGGGCCGAGCCCGTTAAAAAAAGACGTCAATCCGTTAAGATGTGGGCTACTCTTAATCCATACCGATTTTAGTCTGTTCTGTGGCGGGCTAACTTGCGAATTGACAGACTAGCCCACTTTTTTTAAAATTATTTTTTCATGAAATTTTCATTATATTATATAATATAATTGGAGAATTTTGATCCTCAAATTCTATATGGACATTATCTCATTCATATAATTGCATATGTAATTAAGCACTTTTATATGTGTGTGTGGTTATATAAACTATAAAGAGCATCATCTTTTATCTTTTATTTTTTATCTATTTGTTGTTACTATACATACCTTTATAAGATTAAATAAACATGTGATGCTTGTATATACATACACGTAAAAGATCTACTTAATTAATTTGAATAAGAAAACAAGTTAAATTAATTATTTATAAAAAATACATGTTGGTTTTTCTTAAATATCTTTTTAAATTATAAATTAATTCTCATATTTTATTACAATCCACTACTCAAGTTTAAGATTCTAAGTCTAATTTTGACATTTTAAACTAAATCCAACTCATACCAATAATAATAGTTTTTTCTATTAAAAAAAAAAAGGCAGGCAACCCGCCTTGCCAACCTACACCATTTTCGGCCTGCTCCATAGCGAGTTAGCTCATATCTGCACCGTCTGCCTGTTTTACGAGCCATAGCTGCATCCATCCACTGGCACGTTGCATGATTGCCAGACTGTCAAACCGGCATTTTTTTTTTTTGGTGACAAAGAGGACCAAAGCTCAAAAAGAAAAAACTAGGATAAATGGGGACTAGCTCCCTGACCCTCTGCTTCCACAATTGCCCTTAGATTGACTGGGCCAACATCAAAAAACGAGGACCCAGATATCCCTTTCCCGGCCAGTGCATCGGCGACTCTATTTTTTTCTCTGGGAGTTCTTTGTAGCTTTACTTCCAGGCTGTATTTGAGCATATTTGTTTCCAGCATTGTGCAGCAGCAGTATTGAGCTATGGCTGGCTGCTTTTAGTCACACAAAGTCCATTGATTATGGGCCTTACATATGGACCCAAGTCCATTACCCCTTCACCCTATCCCCAAAAAACCCCTTGTTGGCCATCTTCATAAATCATGCCAGTGTTGCCAGAGCAAACACAAAATTGCCTTTCATTCTATTTACAATATAAGTCGTTTTTTTAAAAAAAAATTGTTTAGTTCAGAATATAAGTTACTTAAAGGGTAATTAATATTCCTCCGGTCCTAAATAAAATAGTCTTATATTTAGGACGAGAGTTTTTTTTTTTGGCTTGAAGAGTAATGAATGTTTATTTATCAATTTTATTATTGCAATTAATATTTAAAGGTAACTTTTTGTATTTTTTTCCCCTTTTACAACCTCATTTAATATGGATAGAGTTGAAAAAAAAATAATTTGAAACACATTGAATAAATTAATTATATTTTTTAATACCTATAACTTATAAATTAGTTAAAATAACTCGTATTGATCGGATGAAGTATTTAAAATTGGAAAGAGTATATCATATGAGTAGATCTTATCCCCATGATGTAACTTTTTTTGTCTTCGGATAATCACATCCGATGCTCGTTCACATGATAACATAAAGCCCGTTTCGTCAAAAGCACCCAACACATTGATCACCGTCCCAAAACGCCTCCTGCTGCAATCAACAAACTTCTAAAACCTAAACCCAAACCCAAACCACACAGCCCTTTATTACGTTTCAACAACGTAGGATGGACAGAAGACATTGTAGTAATGGAAGATCTTCAGGCTGGAACCAGTCACTACCAAGAGACAGAGCTTATTAACCAACCATTAGAAGTGCTTCATGCAATTCTTTTTATGAAAAAAATCAGAAGAGATTTGTTTGTTTATTTGGAGAAGGTTTATTCCCTCCGAAACAAGACGCGTGGGATAAAATGGCCGCCACGTGATGCCATTGGGGTCCCTGGTCTGCAAACTTTATCCGGTGCAAAGGGAAAGCTTGGCGACACTGGTGGCCCATCCACAGTTTTTCTGCTTTCACTGAAACTCCTCTTTTTGGTAAAATCAGAGTTCAGAGGTAAGTCATAAAGGGGTTTTGATTCAGAATGAGTCAGAGCGCCACCAAAACCAACATGAAAAGCACGCTCACTCCCATTGGCCGTCAGAAACCCAGCGAAACTTCCACCCACTCGTGACCCCTCCTTACATATTACTCCCTTTCCTCCCCAAGGTTTTAGGGTTTAACACAGACGCTTCTCGTCCGGCGCATTGTCATTGCCTGTCGATTTCAATACCTCATTCCATGGACGATGTTAGGGCAACCTCTGCTTGGGTCGCCAGCCACTCCTCTCACGTTCTCGTTGACTCTGCAGGTTCTGTTCCGTGTCCCGACAATGCTGCTCCTTCTGCTTTTCTCCTTTTTAATATGATGACCCTTTATCATATTATATTTTTGATGCTGTCTTTTGCAGGCATTGAAAAAGTGGTCGATACCATTGAATCCATTCCGAAGGTTGAGTGGGATTTCGAAGGGATTCACTACTTTGATAATGGACCACTCACCGTTCAATACCTGTTTGTACTGGACGCTCTAAATTTTTGCTTCTGGCCCGGTACAATCTCTCGATCTTTTTAAATGCGCCATATCGCGTGGCTCTTCATTGAGGCATAATCTCTGTTTTTCTATCACCTTGACGGTATACGTTAATTCTTAATCGATGGTGACTTTTTAATATTTTATTTTTTTCGAACTGGAAGATTTGAAGTTTTCCCCGTTAGGTTTATGCTTCCTTCCTGGACAGAGGTCGTTCACGTGATGGTTTCGACTTCTGCCTTTATTGTATCGTTTTATTTATAAATTATTCATGGTGGAGAATGAATAGTTTGATACATAATTATATATCCAAACAAAGTTCAACTGCAGATATGAAAATGCCAGAGATGGCGCATGATTGTGTGATAATTTCTGTTGGCGAAGTGTGCGTTCGAAATTAAAAGGAATGATGGTGCTATGCCAAGAGAGCCCTTTCATCGACCAGTCGCTGTAACAGGGGAGATAACGAGAATGTTCCCTCCTTGATATGCATTAAGAAATGATTGCGCTTGTTATGCGTATACTCCGTGTTTCAGTATTAACAAAGACATGAAATACGTTAACATCTGTAGAATAGCAGCTCATCTGTATTTTATTTTTAACTTGGCTTCCCTTCCTCTCTGTTTGCCTGCCACCCTTTTTTCGCATCTGTTAACAGATAAGGAGTTGAGTTACGATCATTTGGCATCTGGGCTAAAGGCTGCTCTTGAAAATGATAAATCTGCATTTGATGCTGACCGTCTGCAAACGTATACAGGTAACTCCGTTCGTACCTAATATTTTATGTATGCATGTTTGCATGCAAGCTTAATTGCATACCGTCTCATGTAATGTTTGTATTAAAAGCTCTTGTGTGTTTAGAATTCATACCTTCAATTTAAAATTACTTTCATTGCCAAGTGAAATTACGGCTAGTAAGAACTTAGAATTATCATTCAATTCTTAGATATAAATTCGATAAGACTCCAAGATTGTTGGTTCGGTTTTGTACAAATTCATGGTGGTCACTAGTCAGTGAAACTAGCAGAAAACCATAAAGTCTTTGATTTTTCATGTTTATGTCGAATCAAATGCAGGTAATTTCATACGGACAGGACATATCCAAATTTGTTTTGAATATATGGCATTATAGTGATTTGCGTGATTCCAATGAGAAAATGGTTTTCCTTTGGGCTAGCAAACTGATGACATCAGTACTTACTGTTAGGTCCACAACTACGTGAACTTTTGAGGTGGCCAAGACCCCTTCCATTGGAAGATGAACGCGTTCGATTATTGCACGAGGTAACATATTCTGTTACTGGAGTTTAAGTTTCTCAAACCCTTGTCTACTCCATGTATAGTCTTTCTTTTGTTTTGATATCTGTGGAAACCTGTATTCTTTTACACTTATTAGTGCTGTATTGTTTTCTCTATTGATTTAGCGCTAATAATTTTTTTTTCCAAGTATGAGACTGGGCTAAGCATGCGATGTGGTACTTTCATGGCTAGGTTGGGCTTGAGCTAGAAAGAAGTTTCGAGGGAAAAGCGTCTAATATTGTGGAGGCTTGTGGAAAATCTGCTTTAAATCTTGTTGCTCTTGTTGCACGTCATTTTCCCGGTATTTGTTTTTTGTTTATTTTTTCTCTTTCTTCTTAATCGTCATTCCTCAAGTGTTGGAATAATTAACCATTCTAATATAGTTGTATATGAAGCAGCCAAAATTTATTTGCAAAGGAGGCACTGACTGTAAAACTTTGCATTGTTTTTAGGTTTTAGAGACCACTCTGTCTATAAAGGCCGCCAAGTGTTTCTGTATAAGAGAGCGCAGATATTTGCAGCAGATTTATGGGGTGCATTCCAGGGAAAAGGATATGGTGAATTTGAAGATATTGGCTCAATTACTATAATGGCGGATTATATTGTCCCAGCTGTGCTCCGGCAGCTTGGTGTGTTAAAATATAGTCCAAAACTTGCCAGCATTATTGAGAGCAGTGGAGAAATAAATCCTGGGACTGAAGAGGAAGTTGAACTACGGGCTTGCTCTGTACATGCAGTGGAGAAAATGAGGGAGCTGATGAGCGTAAAATCTGGGAGGCAGGCAAGTTCTTCTCCTCTCTGCAGAAGGGCTCTCATTTTCCCATGCATGTAGGATTGTTGTAAATTTTGTCCGAGATTGAAGTGGCATAAAAAAAATGAAAGGAATAATCTACCCATAATTCACTTATGCTTTAATCGTTCCTTTTTTAGGGATAAATTTTCTTTTTCTATAAAAGTAAAAGTTTTTAGGGTTGGAGCATCGGATTTCTCCTATTCTTTGCTCAGTAAGTTTGCTATTTTTGGTGAAGTTCTTTTCTATAAGTTATTAACAGAACTAGTAGCATTTTGACTGGTATTTATCTTGTTTGTGTTCCTACTATTCAGGGATTTAAAACTGGAGTAAAGCTTACCTTGCGTTTGCACTCATTTTTTATTTTGACTTACCTGGTGTTGTCTTATTTCAGGTGCTCAGCGTGGAGCTGGATCTTTGGCTTTGGGCGTCTGGCATTCAATGCCCATCTCTGCAGCACCATAAAACACTTTCAATATATTACTGAATTCACGAGATAACCTGGTCACTTGTTATCTATGAATCAGTTGCAGAATGAGGAAATTTTGGATTGGATATTTAGTGGTAATTATTTTGGATGGTGATAAGCTAGCTGCCTAGAAAATCTTGGTTTCGGCTTTCAGAGGAAGTAATATCTCGGTTAATTTGGTTTAGTTTTGGTTCTGTATACGAAACACTTGTTGGTTCTGTCAGAGTTAGCATAACACGATTTGCTTTTGGGAAGAACATTAAGAGAATTACGAGACCGAATTATCAAAAATGTTCTGTATCACCTGCTTTTCTTTGTGCTTTAGGTGCTGATATTCGTGTTCCTCTTCTCAAGCCTGTTTCATTTAGCGTAGAAAGCGAACACATTACCGAAGTTCTTTTCTTAATTGAAATAAATTAAAAGACGCATCGCTATCTGCATATGATACTCACCTTTGACATAATGCTTCTCAAGCGTTGTTCAACATTACATAATGCCAAATAATAGCAATTCTTTGGGGATTTCTCCATTATGACCATGAACATTAGTACTTTTTTCCATATATTTTAGTTGAAGTACCTACGTGATAAAGTTCCGATCGCGCCTTCTTGTTTTCCAGATTTGAACGGTTAATTTAAGTCATCACATAGCACTGGGGTTCTTGGTGATGGGCAAACTCCCGTCATAAGTGCATTTGAAAACATCCGGTTTCCTAACCAAGCGAGGTCCAAGTGGCACCTTGTTCTTTTTAGGACGAATATCCTGCACTGACACAGAGCCTGTAATTATAACCCACAATGATAATTTCTTCTTGCCTGGCCTATTTAATCCTGCCAACCGGCCATGCTTATTTACTTGAGACCACAGCTTTTAAGTTTGAGGACGTAAAGCAGTTTTGGAGCAAACAGTTGGCATATCATTGTCGTTTAATTACCTGGTCAAAGATTGCAGTTGGAATAGCTAGGGTTGCAACTGCATTAGGGGCATCCACTATCCCCGAGATTCTTCCCTCGCACGGGCAGCAAGACAGTAACAGGTACATCTGATATTCACCCAACACATGCTAATGTAACACTCTTCCCATTTGGGATCTCAGGGTACACAAGAATAAGATAGACTTAAATGGGATTCTGGGGAAAGCGTGGTGCTTAAAAACCTGTTCTTTAGAGTAGCCAAATTTGGATAGGTAGTCAATGGCATTGAGCACTGCTCGCTTGTAGGCAACGCTCGCATCCAGGAAGTGTTGCCTCCCACTTTCATCCACACTGATTCCCTCAAAAACCAACCACTCTGAGAATCTTGGCTCCACCGGACCGATCTCAAATATTGGGTTCACATGAAGAGGTGTAGGCCCCATTGGTGTCAGGTACTCTTTCATTCCTCCCCTTATAATTTCACACCTGATCATCACATTACACATGGCCATTTGCTTTTACTTGTTAACAGCTTGTTTACTTTTGCGCTGGAAATTGAAAGGAATGAAGCGGCAAATAAGGTGATGAAGTTGTTTGTTAAGTTAGTGAAGATATACTTCAGTTCTAGGAAACCACTCATCTCTATTGCGCCGCAGAATGAAACCTCGCCATCTCCCTGAGAAAAGTGCATGTCGCCAGTGCTAAGGTTTGCTCCCTCAACAAATACCGGAAGGTATATCTTGGAACCTCTGCTGAGATTCTTGATGTCACAATTCCCACCATTTTCTCTTCCTGGAATTGTCCTTGCGGCTTCCTTTGCAATCCTCTCCCAGTCAGGCGTGCCCCTTTGGATCTACAAGAAGAAAACGTGTTATTGAGAATTGAGAACTACACGCTGAGTGGTATGCTACAATGTTGGTGTTTTGAGTGTATAATGCCACTGCCTTAGGTTGAAGTCTTCAATGGTGGAGGATAGGATAGATGAGAGAGAAGCACGGAGGAGGGAGGAAAAGGTCTAGTGTTTCGGCATTTGGAGAATGAGTGAGTAGGAAGCAAAACTATTCAATGAACCCAAGAAATGCTTGCAAAATATGAATTTAAAGTCGCAGAGTAGCTAAAACCAATGTCTATATTTGAATTATTGGATATTGCAACGCAGCAATACCTTTCCAAGGTGACATCCTTCTGGTGATGGTAAGTTTGCCAAAGGTCGGGAATGCAAAACCTCGCAGAGTTTGTATAACACTCTTCCCATTTGGGATCTCAGGGTACACAAGAATAAGATAGACTTAAATGGGATTCTGGGGGAAAGCGTGGTGCTTAAAAACCTGTTCTTTAGAGTAGCCAAATTTGGATAGGTAGTCAATGGCATTGAGCACTGCTCGCTTGTAGGCAACGCTCGCATCCAGGAAGTGTTGCCTCCCACTTTCATCCACACTGATTCCCTCAAAAACCAACCACTCTGAGAATCTTGGCTCCACCGGACCGATCTCAAATATTGGGTTCACATGAAGAGGTGTAGGCCCCATTGGTGTCAGGTACTCTTTCATTCCTCCCCTTATAATTTCACACCTGATCATCACATTACACATGGCCATTTGCTTTTACTTGTTAACAGCTTGTTTACTTTTGCGCTGGAAATTGAAAGGAATGAAGCGGCAAATAAGGTGATGAAGTTGTTTGTTAAGTTAGTGAAGATATACTTCAGTTCTAGGAAACCACTCATCTCTATTGCGCCGCAGAATGAACCTCGCCATCTCCCTGAGAAAAGTGCATGTCGCCAGTGCTAAGGTTTGCTCCCTCAACAAATACCGGAAGGTATATCTTGGAACCTCTGCTGAGATTCTTGATGTCACAATTCCCACCATTTTCTCTTCCTGGAATTGTCCTTGCGGCTTCCTTTGCAATCCTCTCCCAGTCAGGCGTGCCCCTTGGATCTACAAGAAGAAAACGTGTTATTGAGAATTGAGAACTACACGCTGAGTGGTATGCTACAATGTTGGTGTTTTGAGTGTATAATGCCACTGCCTTAGGTTGAAGTCTTCAATGGTGGAGGATAGGATAGATGAGAAGAGAGAAGCATGTCCCGTATTGCATCGCACAACACGGAAACAAAGGAGGAGGGAGGAAAAGGTCTAGTGTTTCGGCATTTGGAGAATGAGTAGAAGCAAAACTATTCAAATGAACCCAAGAAATGCTTGCAAAATATGAATTTAAAGTCGCAGAGTAGCTAAAACCAAAATGTCTATATTTGAATTATTGGATATTGCAACGCAGCAATACCTTTCCAAGGTGACATCCTTCTGGTGATGGTAAGTTTGCCAAAGGTCGGGAATGCAAAACCTCGCAGAGTTTGTATGATTGGAGCCCATTTGTTTGGACGTCTCTCTCCCTTTCATTCCAGATGTTGAGGAGTTCCATTGAAGGTGCGGTTCCAATTATCCCTGGGTGAGTTAAACCTGGAAACCTCACACCTGTCCATTATTGAAAATCTTGTGATTAGCAAAATATCAGCAAGCCCATGTTTAGGCTGTGTAGTACATTAGCAGAAAATGAATCACGTATTAGATTCACCAGGGATTTGAGGGGAATGGGCATATATCCCTTCAAAGTACCATATAGCCTTTGATGCGCAAGGAAAATGATCAGTCAAGAAACCACCCCCATTTTCTCTGTCAAATATTGCAGTATAACCCCATTCATCTCCAGGTAGCGGACCCAAGTTGCATATTTCAACTGCCAGCAGATCTCCCGGCTTCGCTGGGGTCCCATCTTCATCCAAAATTCTAATTGGCCCGCTTAGATAGTGGACCTGTATCATCATTTCCATCAAGGTTAATCATTAAGTTCTATGACGGATAAAGTTTGGAAGTAATCAGCGGCTGACAATTTGTCCCGGACAATCGAGTCCCGGTTCAGGACAAGACTGGATTCTTTTACATTTACACGAAAACCATAGTTCAGAATTCAGTCGATGAAAAGTTATGATATTTGTACTTACAGTAGAGAGGTCCATGAGTTTTATGTCTAGTGCTGAATTGTCATCTTTAATAGAACCTCCAGTCCAGTCTACCATTTCTACCCTAAAGACTTCTCCAGTAACAATATCTGCAGCAGGGGGTATGCCAGGGTGCCATCGGTTATGGAGAGGAAGCGTTTGGTCCCAAGGCCTCTTGTTTAGGTCTATTGGTACTACCAGTCTTGGAGTTGGTGGTGCCATGGACTGTGCAGATGCATTTAAAATCCACAACTTTGGTGTAGTCGTAGATATCCATTCAAATGTTGGGTTCAGGACAGGCCAAGGAAGGAGTTCGTCTTTCCACCGGGGACCACAAGTTGGACTAACTAGCTCTAATGGTCCTCGGACACGTTTTGGCCCATTTGAGAAGTTTTATATTTTCACGATTCTATCAATTATTGCCATTTCGAACTGATGACGTTAGATAGGTGCTTAAAAAATTCTTCAGAACAGTTCTGCTTTTAGGAGATAACGCTGTGCTCTCCTCCTCCTAGTGATGATAGAGGATTTGCAACTACGACTAGAAAACTTTGTGTGGTCGGGGGTTGGTGCTTCATCATCATGAGATGTTTCTGCTAGTGACAATAGTTACAACAACGGCTGGTAAGAAGAATAAAAGACTTGTGTATTGATTCTTCATCAGGATCAGGAGATGCTTGTGACATAGGAGGTTTGAGGCCACATCATTGACATTATTTTTATCAAAACATTCTCCTAACGAGATGTCTACGCAGTGTGGTTTAGGTCGAGTTTTGTGCGTGGGTAAATCTAGCGAACCAAATCCATTAAAAATGCTGAGTAGAGATAACTCAAATTCAAACCAAACAAGTATGGCTTCCTTCACACACACACACACACAGCTCGATGCAGAAGCTCAGTGTTAAATTAATAGTGAAGCAAACTCACAATGGAGGGATCGGCATACTTGATGTCATGGGCAGTTTCCTTGTTGGTAATACCACCTCCACTGAAGTCCACCATCTCTACTCTGAAAAGCTCGCCAACTTTAACCTCTGCAACTGCTGGTATGTCTGGATGCCACCGGTTGTGAAGAGGATGCTTCTGTTCCCATGGCTTCTTCTTCAAGCTATGGGCACCACCAATCTTGCCATTGCTGAATCTAGTCAGTTATCTCCCCTGAGATGTGGTTTCGGGAAAAATTAAATATATCGAGTGTTTTTAACTGAGGGGTATCTTCAACGAGGGTGTCCTTTCGCTTTCTGAAAGTGAAGGTTTTGACAATCAAGGACCAGAGCAGCCTACTGTGATGTGATTGTCTTTTCTCCTCTATTACCCGGGACCATTCTTACGCACTCACCCAAAACTGAGTTCAAGCGTTTGATGCTGACTCATTATAGATATTAAAACTTACACCCATAGTGTTGGTGTGTAAATTTTTAATACTGAACCGGCACCACAGAACTGCCCCACTTTGGAAGCGACACTGACATGGTGAAAGCAGCAGGTTCTGTATACTTCGATGAGATGCCAAATGAATTTGAAGCAAAAGGACGACGAACAATCAAGTAGTAGGCTTTATAGCTTTGGGACATATGGACCTCACTATGGTGATGAGGAGCATGATTTTTCTGGGGTCAAGCTAAGTTGATCCAAACGTATGTAAATGGAAGAGGGCCCACATATCGGAATCTTGAGGATATTGCCAGCATTCTCATCAATCACCATGATTTTGAGATTTTGTTCTTTTCTTTTGGGAGTGCAGGAACATGCAAACCTTTTGATTCATATTTCATAATGGTTCTCTGTGTGACACTACTGCTTCGTCTTCACTTGCTTGAATTTTGGGAGGCAATTTACCTGAACTTTCTTGCAATAATATAAAAACACATGTACAGAAGTATTTACGACCTAAGCCTGACTTCAGAACTCAAGTCCGTTTATACTGAGCTGTGACTGGAGCTGGCATCTCCGATTAACCTATGAGATTGATATAAATCGTTATCAGAAATTAAAGGATAATTAAACCAAAATCTCATCAAGTGTTTGTTAGTGGGCATACGAAACAGACAATCGATGACGCAGGAATTACAATAAGCAAGCTTAGCTTATTTACCCAAAAAAAGAAGAAGAAGAAGAAGAAGAAGAAGCAGGCTTAGGCTAAGATACTTGCATCGTAAACAAGACTGAGCATAACATTTGTTTTAACTTGGTTTATCGCATATGAAAACGAATAAACGATCATGGGTATTTTATTTTGTGGCTCTAGTTCTTTTTTCCCTTTTTGCCACCATTATAGTTCTAATATAATACTGCACAGCATTTGTTCCATGGCTCTAATTTTTATTTAGAACTATTAATTTCGACTTGTGAATATTTAAGAAATTATTCATTTTTTTAATTTTAAATGCTTAAATATATCAAAGTGGGAGTATGAAGAATGCACTGTTCAAACGATACCAAGATTATAATAATTTAGCTTTGTTGACTTTATAATAATTTGGGGACAATTGGGCCTAAAAGTTAATTTAAAAATATTCTCGTCGTAAATAAAAAGCGGGCAAATATCATAAGCTGAGAACGCAAGTGGGACGGTGACCTCAGAGGGTTGCTGAGCGAAGGATAAGGATGCCGCGTCCGCCATGACGCGACATCTTCATGCTTCCTGGTCCCCCGCGTCACGTGTCAGAACTTATTTATTGCACGACCACTTTATATGTCTGCATATAATCTGTGTGCCAATTTGAAAAGTATCAGCTTATTTAATTTTTATTTTGCTTTGAAATATAAGATTTTAATTTATTTTGTTTTTTATATATATATTTTTAAGATAGTTCTTCTAATAATAGACTACTATAACTAATACATTTTATTAGTAAGGATATTTTAGAAAAGATAACATATATTTATTACAAATAATTAACTTAACTTCTTTATTTAATTTTCTTAAATTAATCAACTAGTTCTTATAATTAAGACCAGAAGTGATATATTAATATACCAATTTATAATGTCAGTTATCCAAGAACACCATTCTCATATTATACTTCTCAAAACAAGCTTAAGATCACTAAACTGGCATTTTCAAATTCCTCCTGTTATTTTTAATTTTTTTTATTGAAAAGGAACCCCCTAATCCTACCCTCTTTGTAAAGTCAAAGAAACCCAAACAATACTGACATCGCGTCCTACCTTGATCACTTTGTCTTCACATAACCCCGTATACGGATCTCCCCAAAAAAAAAAATCACTGTTGATCTGAAAGAGCGATCATTCACTTGCGTTAGCAATACCTAATTGCTTAAATGATTTAATATAATAATGTGATTTTGGAAATATAAGAACCATTATTTAATGAGAATATATAATTATGAAGTATTTCGTGACAATTATATTCAGGATATAATATCCAAGGATTATGAGTACCAAACAGAAATAACCTTGTGAATCAATATTTGGCGACAATTAGGATGGGGAATCTTGATAGGATAAAGCTCTTGTGCGTGCAATATGGAAATCATGTTGTCTTTACTCTTTAGCCCAATACCATTAGCAAGAATTGTTGTGTGATGAAAGTTTTGTTATAGCCCTCTGATCTAAGCCCTTGGGGCAAACACCATCCATTCGTTCTCTCTTTAATAGCATTTCAACTATACAGCTTCAGGCAAGCTAGCGCGTTCTCTTTGTTTTCACCTGAGGAGATCTTTCCAGTTGACCGTATATCTCCCTTTTCGGGTCTGCTACTGCAGTTATCTCTGCTTTCCGCATCAGTTTCTGATTTGGATTCTTCCCTCTTCCTCGCTTTTGTTACTGTTGACCTCCGTTTCCCTTTCATTTTTGCTTTTCTTTTTTTTTCCAAAATTAAAAAAAATCAAACATTACCTCTATTTTAATATAAAAACTAGATCAATATTCAATTATATTATCTATTTTTTCTTAGCCATTCTTTATAGTAATAACACATGTTAAATATTTTATTAATAGGTAAATTTACTTAATAAATATGATTAGTAAAGATATTTTAAAAATATAATATATATTTGTTATAAATAACTCACTTAACTAATTTTTATTATTTTTAAATGAATAAATTAATTCTCTGATAAGGAATACTTTATTAGGCGCATGCGCCTGACGTAATTAATCGCATTCAATCTCGAACAACTAGAGAGACATTGCGGCCAAAAGAAAAAATATACAGCTGGACATAATAATGGAGGGCGGCGAAGTTTTCTTATTAATAGTATCATATTACCACTAGCTCTTTTTTAAATTATAAAAAATACGAAATGACCTCAGCAGCCTAAGCGCAAAATATCCCCATTTCTCTGGCGCAACATGGCACCGAGATTAATATTACATTCGGTTTTAATATAAAAAGTAATTGACTAATTAAAAAATAATTAAATTGATTATTTATAATAAATAAGTATTATTTTTTCTAAAATATTATTACTGATCGAGTATCATTTAATTAGATATTTAATGTATATAACTACTATAATGATTACTTGGAAAAAAAGTAGATAAAATTATAGACAAATAAACTAAGGTTTTATATATAAAACCAAATTAAAAATCAAATTAACTCTTATATTAAGAATCAGAGGTATAATTACTATTGGACTTCATAACCGGGGCTTTAGATTTGTGCATATATAACAACAACATTAATAATTAGTACTCTCCGAAAGAGTTGATATTAATCATATATATAAGACTTATTAATATTATTCATCAAATTTTTTAAAAAAATTAAATCTATTGATATTTCTCCTGTTAGTACTTAAATAGGAGATGGAGGGAAAAAATTAAAAAATATATTTAAAGTATTTTTAAAAAAACATATCATATTAACTAATTTAACTTATATTTTTAATTTATTTAAATAGTTAATTAATTTTATATTAAGTAAGAAAGAGCATGGCTGACAAGACAAAACTAGAGCATAATCTAGTTTGTAGACTTACCTCAGTTTTCCTGAATAGTTTAATGCGTTGTGGTGAAAACGTAAGTATGAGATCTTAACGTGGGCGGGCGGTGAAGGCCACCGCCAAAGAGTCGAATAAAATATAGATAAGCCCAAATTATTTTGACCTTTCATGTAATTTAAGTGTTCCAACTCTCACACTAATCGTACTTTGTGTTCCCTAATCCTGAACCAATCCATCAATCATTAGTGCATCCGTTTGATCACTAATCTCTAGTCTTCCGCTCAGTGCGTCCATTAGTGTTAGTATTATTATACTCGCCATTTAGCTGGTAAATTAATAACTTCTCTTTGCAACCCACACATGAGCCACGCGCACCGTGGTCAAGGCAAATCACGCCAACTTTAAGCCTCGTTTGGTAATTCCAATGTATTTTACTGTCCACCAGCCAAACAAAGCGCAGCCGTATAAAAATAGCTGTGTATAATTCTTGTTTTTTTTTTTAGCACTAGCTGTGTAAATTCATAATTGTATATTCATTTATATTTAGTTATATGAAGAGAGGGGATAGTGACGTGTAAATGGAATAACAAGAGCTCAACATACATGAAAAAGAAAGGGAAAGAGAAAGACTATATCCACAATAAAGATAAAAAAGAAATAAATCCAACGGCGGAGGAACATCCATCCGCGGAAACACGGAGCCGCTGGCGCCC